TAATAATACACATATTGCAAGTGTAATTCTGACAATGCTAATTGTCTCACTTTGACCTAGCAAAATGCATCAAAGATATTTGAGCTGTTGGATTGCAGAATGGAGCTTTTATTAGCATAAGTGTAGCTGGTTAGTTATTCCTGAGCAACCAGAGAGTCTAATGGGACTGACAGTGACTTGTGCTAGTATAAAATAATTCACTGGAATATAACTCTTGGGTGACTGGAACTCTCGGGTGCAGTAGAAAATCAGAGCCTCCTTAAGGTGATGGAGTTGTGTTTACTTCACCTATTGTGATCTCCCATCAGGTAAAGTTTAGACTGGATATTAGGAAAAATATCTTCACCAAAAGAGTTGGCAAGCACTGCAACAGACTGCCTAGGGAAGTGGTTGAGTCACCATCCCTGGAAGTATTTAAATAACGTAGATGTGGCATTTGGGGACATAGCTGAGTGGTAAGCTTGGTAGAGTCAGGTTTACTGTTAGAGTTGATGATCTTAAAGGCCTTTTTCAACGTAAACTATTCTATGATTCATCCCACAGTCCAATTACTTAATGCCACCTACTGTCTGGAGAGCCAAAGTAAAGTCTGTGAAGAATATGTTGTAATTAGAGTGCATATTGGATTTCTTTCTCACATTCAGATCTTTGGTCCTTAACTTGTACAATAAGGCTACTGTAATATGTCTTTGGAAGGAAATGGTATTTGATGGAGAAATTATTAAACTCCTGAGATCTCCATCTGTTTTTAAATCTTCCTTGATTATGCTTCTGTTGCTCCCTAACCTCTAGTTTTTTGCCTTTCAGAGGAGGAGGAAGAGACCCTTTAAATGCTAAAAATTCATTTTCTAGGGGATTATTAATTCAATATCTGTTCTTTTACAGCTGCTCTGGATGAAGAGGAAAAAGAAGAAATGGATCTTCTTCCATTTTTATGAATATATGTTGTGGTGGTTTGAAAAAAACCTTTCCCCCTGGGGCTTGTGATAGTCTGCCCAGGGGTGGTGTTTTTGATACTGGACCGATTAAAAACTTTGTGTGCCCTTGCGGAAATTACATGCTCACAGAAGCGGAAAAGAGGTTAATTTCTAACTGCATAGCTAGAAGAAGAAGGAGCCATGCTTTGAACGGTCCCTACCCCCTGGCTCCTGGCCGGGGGGGCCGGGAGCAGCACAGCTACTGACAGAAGCCCCCTGAAGCTGGCGACTGAGGGGGACCCTGGAAGATAGGGGAGACCCCGAGGTTGGAGCGGGCCAGGCTCCATGACCCTTTGGAGAGACGGCTGCAGCATACAGTCATGTAAGTGCCGAGGGGAGTCTCCCCCCATGGGTTTGGGGGAGCCCCTGGGCCCTCGCTGCCGTGGCCCAGCCAAGACTGCGGGAGTTAAACTCCCCAGGAGTTTTCCAGCTGACCTCATCGCCTTTTTCCCACCGTGGGTGGAAGGAGTGGTGAGAAGCTGGCTGGAGCCTGAAGCAGCAGCGAGTAGGACCAGTGAATCCGAGAACAGAGCAGGCGGAAAGAGAGAGAGAGAGGGAGAGAGTCAGCTGGACTCAGTTCTACGGTAAGAACTTGAACTAAACTAAAAGCCCAGAACTTCTTAACCGCGGGAAGGAGGGGTGGAAATTCCCGAGAATTCATTCCCCAGGGGTCAGGATCTCCATGAAACAAGAATAGGGGATAAAGACTTTAACCCCTTGTATTTTGTGCTGCAGAAGAAAGAACTCTAGCTGTGACAAACCAAAACTGCTGCCTTAAAAATAAGAGACACCAGGGCCACAGAAAATTAATTTGGAAGACCTGTGGCCTGAAAGCGAAAAGAGGACTTATTCTCTTTTCTTTCTGGACTGTTTTTGAAGGAAAGGAGAGATGATCTATGTATATATATTGTTTCACCATAAAAGAGATAGTTAAATTGTTACACGTATATATATATATATGTATATATGTTAATAATAAATTGTAATATATTCCCCTCCCCCATACTAAGTTGTGTATGTGTGTCTGAAAACTTCTTCTCTCTCACATCAGAACAAATTGTAACAAAAACCTTTTAAAATTAGCTTTCTAAAGTTCCTGTTTTTCAAACCACCATATTGTTAACTCATTAATTCTCTTTGTATGCATCACTGTGGAATCTTGGTGTATAAAACAGCACAATTAGAGGTGGGAAAAAATTCAGTACTCTTTGATACTGAATACAATAAAAAGGATACAGAATATGGAATACTATAGTAGCATATAAACTGAATAATCACTTAGTGAGCAAGTTTTTACATCCCTTTCTGGATACAACTTAATATATTATACACATGAAAGCTATTTCAGAAATTTATACAATAAATTTTAGTTTAAGTAAATACACCACAAAGAAGAATACAAAAGGAGAAATATAAATATTGAATAGCAGTGCATTATTATTGCTTTAGCAAAACAAGGTTAGCAGTCCCTATTTCTTGTCAGTAATATGCTGATACTAACTTTTCAGTTTAGCAGAACCCATTCTGTATTTGTTGTCTTTAGCACAAAATTATATTACTCTCAAAAATGCCAAAGAACAGTCTTCTAATGAAAAAAACATACTGAAGATTTTTTGTCTGTGCATTAGCCAACATCAAAATGAACACTTTAGTATAAATTTAGCCAATATCAAAATGAACACTTTTGTATAAATGGTTACTGTAATGTCGACAATGTTGAAAGAACCATTGTAGTCCAAAAAGGATCAAATACAGAGTCTAAGATGACATCTTGCTATTAAATTTCTACAGTATTTATTTTCCGTAGATACTAACTGAATCCACAGATGTCAACTTTTTTTGATGTCACGCTTTCTCTGAAACAGTGAGTTTGTATGAATGTCACTGATTTGCTGTGTCACATACAATTTAAAACAAAATAGCAAAGGTCTGTGACAATGAAGAGAAATATACAGGAACTGCAGGAAAAAAAATAAACACAAATAAATCAAGTAAAGAAAAAGGGGGACAGGCATATGAAGAAAAATCTAAAATAGTGTTAAAAGTTGCAGTGAGCTATCATTCTTTGTCAGGTTAAGTTTTGCCCAAATGATTAAATCTTACTGGACTGATTTCGCAACTCATTTGATGAGGCCTAGTGGGTATTCTTGGGGGAACGATATGTTTACTTCATAAAAAAATCCATAACTTTGTCGACTTCTGATATCCTATTTTTTGGGAAGGATGTTGTTTAAACTTTTACATATACAACTCCATTTTATCAGCCTCAGTTATAGCATCAGCTGCAGTTAGGAATAATACCTGCAATGTTGACATATACAATCTCATGGAGAATAGGACAGCACATGCCTTGCAAGCATAATATTTATTTCTGGAATGGTTTCTAACCTAAGATGGCAGTATGTGTCCAGCATGAGAGCTTGAAATATTAATTGCAGTCTACTGGTAGAAAAATTCTCATTACAACAGCATCCAAAGACAATAACAAAAGTGTCAAGTTCTGTGATCTCCATATCAAGCATTTGATTTTGTCCAAGGTGTTTACTAGTTCTTGAAAAAAACCCACTATTATCCAATACATTAAGTGTCCTAACTGTGAAAAGAAGAAAAAACTCTGGAAATCAGAGTAGAGGATTTGAGAAAATTCTTTTGAAGCACATAAATTTGGTTCAAGTTTAGGAAACGATAGTTGCAGGCTACCAACAGGACTTGTCAGAAAGAAGTACAATTTCTTTATGCATGTACTAAAACAAAGAAGCAAGCAAACAAACAAACAAAAAAGGCAAAAAAAAACCCCAAACAAAACAAAATCCCAAAAGCCCACACAACCCTCACGCACTTCAGGGCTTCTGGGATGGGATTCAGGTGAAATGCAAACAACTTCAGCAATAATGCAGCAGTCAGTGGTACCTCCAGGGTTGTTCCGTTCATCCAAAGAGGAGATTTAAAAGATGGAGAACCGAATTGTGGATTGTGCCAGCAAGGATTCTACAATCTTTGGTTGGTGCTTAGATGTTTAGCTTACACCATTTTGTAGTGGGTTGACCCTGGCCGGATACCAGGTACCCACTAAAGCCTCTCTCTCACTCTCCCTCTGCAACTGGACAGAGGAGAGAGAAAAAAAACAGCTAAGGGTTCATGAGTTGAGATAACAGCTGGGAGAGGTCACTTACTGATTACCTTCAAGAGCAAGACAGACTTCAGCTACCAAAACCAGCCACAGAAACCCACTACACATGTACAGAAACCTACATTTAGACATCTTAATATTAATCTGAATTATACATTTATCAGTTTAATATTCCCACAAGCATGCTGGGAGAAACTAGAATAAGAAAGAAAAAGCTGATCTTTCTTCCACTTTTTTTTTTTTTAACCACACACAATTTCCCTGACAGTCTGAATGTTTCTTAAGGGGAATATTTATACTGTATGGTCTTTGTGTCTCTGTTGAGTACATTGAAAACAAATTGGTTCCTGACAGACTCCTGGAAGAAGTGGCACAGAACATGGGCCACCTCCGGTGCCCAAGTTTATACAATGTGAATGTCTCTTTTCTTTCCTCTCATAGAGGGATCAGTTGATAGAATACTTTTATTTCTTAGATGAAAGAAGTATTTTGTATTTCAGGAACTAATATAGCTGAAGAATTTTGAAAATAAATGCTGAAGTACTTAAAATAAAGCCCTTTTTTAGGGTAAGATACTTTTTAAGTCCCTTTGAAGCCAATGTCATTGGTGTAAATGAGTATTCCTGTCACTTATAACGAGGCCCTAAAATGCGCATAGTTGAAAATTTTCCACTCCTTTTGAAGTCCCTGTATAACCACATTGACTCAATAGCTGCTTTTAAATGCTAAAGCACTCCTCTTTTCTACTGCCTATATAATTACAAACAAACAAAAAACAGTGGTTGGAAAGCATGATTATAAAGTCCTTGATAAGTTTAGAACTCCCAAAATTATTGCTTTAGATTTCAGAAAGAAAACTTAATAAATTTAATTTAAAAATATTCTCTACTGACCAGATGTAGATCAACACATGTAGAATTGTGTTCACAAGCATTGACTATGCAGTCATCAATGTCTTGGTCACATTTCAGTCCTGCATATCCTGGGTTGCACAAACAATAAAAGCCATTGACAACTGCAACAGAGATAGTATGTTAGTACTAATAGTCTTTTAGCACAACAACTGAATGTAGTAAAATTAGTAAGTTACAGTTATGGCTACTGTCTGGAAAAGATTTGGACTGGCTTTACCTAAAAGATGTGGACATGTTAAAAAAATTGAAATAATTTAATTGTGGCATATCAAAAAATGTTTTCAATATGAAAGCAGATTCATTTACTGCATTTTACCTTAACAACTGAAATATTTTGACATAAGAGTTATAAATAAATGACCCATTACTAGCTTCTGAAAAAGTTATGGTATCTTATAAGTAATTTTCTATCACAAAACTGTCACAAAGTACATAAGATTCTGTCTTTGATACTATGCCTAAATGAGATGTGGCAGTTGAACGATAATTGGCTTGCTCGTAGTTTTTAATATTTTGTGTGTGTGTGTAAGGAATGCCTCATATTGTACTACTATATTAAAGGAAAACTTGCTTGAGTTGAATTTTTCTATAATATATTTCTTAACAAGCGAATGATAAGAATCCTGTCTTTTTTTCATCATTCATGATCCAAATGGAGAGGAATCTTTAGAGTGTTACATCCGTATAAGAAGCTCATGGCAACAATAATTGCACTTCTTGCAGGTCTACATTTATTCTAACTTCAAAGACACCCCTGGATTCTTCATTATCACTGTGATTTACTGTAGAATCTATTCTGCCATTGTGTCTGTACACACAGCTGCTATTATATTCATTAAAAGTTTTAAGTTGTTCACCACAGGAGCATTATTCATCTGCTAAAAGCTTCCTAGCTTCCTTAGGATTCTGCTTTCTGCAGTCAATGCACATAGGGTAGAGGAACTCCAACATCCACATGATACAACTCAAGCCAGAGGCACCATAAAGACAAGCTGTTCCCAAAATATTTGACGCTTTGTCAGCATGAAGAACTTTAATGAATCTCATCTAAATTCCAGTTCAAAAATATCTCTAAAACAATGTAGAGTACAGAGAAAACATCTGTAAACTAACTAGGAAGTAGTCTTTACTAGGTAAAAGATTAAGTCACTTGCCTTATTTCCATGTATGGAAAGGCAGACTTCTTAAGATATTTATTGAATTATTTTTTTTTTTTAACTAGGAGAGTTTTAGGCAATGATATATTTAGTAATTTGGAGTCGGTTCTTTAATATCATATCTGAAACCAGTAAGTTCATTAGACCTTGTATGAATTTTTCTAAAAAAAAAAATAAAAAATGCTGTTCTAGCACTGTTAATAGCCCAGATTCATGCAGGGTTGACTACATGACCTCCAGATGCCTTTCTGCTTTCCAGTCAACGTTTTAAGATTCTCTGAAAATTACTACTTCTACCTTTTTTTTTTAACAAGCATAGAAATTTTCTGATAGGTTGTAATAGCCCCATAAAACTTTCAAGTAAGTACTCCATACCTAGTGATTGCTACTAAATTTAGCCTGCCAATCCAGATAGAATATAGCAGGGAAATCAAGTTGCTTCTAAAACCTTTAAGTATATATTTCAATGAAAGAGTGAGTTACACAGTTACATGATAGAAGGTGCTTTATAGTAAACAGATACTCCATTTTGCGTCAGTTTTAAATTAAATTGAATTTTTTGACTTTTAAAATTATGACATATACTTCCTAACTGCTCCATGAGCTCCTTTTCAGCACTTAAATATTCTCTCATCAAATGCACGATGTAAGATGTGTTTGACTAATTTAGGTATCAAAGGAGACAGCACAAATCTCATTAAAATTTCTTACTAGTTACAATTCTGACCTCCTGAACACACAAACCTCAGTGCCAGGAGCTGAGGCATTTTGGCAAAAATAATCCTTCTGGTGCAGGCTGTGGAGCTTCAGACAAGCTAAATTTCATTAAATTATCCACTGTTCTCCCCAGAGCAGCTCAGCAGCTACAGACACTTCAACAGAAAGACTGCTCTACATTAAAGAGAGTAACCAGACTGAACTCACTGTCATAGCAGTATCCGTGGAGGCAAGGGTTAGAACTGCACTCATTGACATTGATCTCACAACGTGGACCTGCAAAGCCCTTCACACACTGGCAGTGGAATCCAAGGGGAAAAACGTCCAAATTCATTTCTTCTATGCACACAGCTCCGTTCTCACAGGGATTGCTGGCCTCACAAGGCCTAAACTCACAGTTCAAACCTGAAAAGGAAAACAGCAAAGCTGTCAGTGTTTAACTAACGAATATGTCCCTGCAGCCACTGCCTACTACGAGCCGTATTTTCTTTACAACCCTGGTTTAAATCACGTTGGAGGGTCTCAGAGATACACATATGTATATTATCATGAAGAAACAGTTATTTACTTTGTAGAATTGTAAAAAAAAGATATCTGCTTTATCTGTTTTGTTTATATAATGAAAATGCATTTTAAAATCTTAAGAGCTATCTCATAGCTAGAGATAGATAGGTATATCTTATGGTTTTTCTACTTACCCTTGTGCTCTAAAATGGCTCAAAAAGTGTATTTAAAAATAATTAATTAATTTTGATTGAAGCTTCCTGTTATTGACTCCTGATAATCTGTTGTCACAACTACCACGTGAACTGTTCATACATTAACCCATAATACTGAACATAATTAAATGTGTGTAATCTTCTATAACTTTTTTGCCTGCAGTCCATGACTGACACTAATTATTTTACTGAAATTATGTATTTATTTAATAATGAGTGACTGCCTTCATCATTTATAAAAATTCCATACAATAGAACATCTTACACAGTCCCATTGTACTCTTTCCTCTATTGTACTCTCGTGTATAGCAAATTATGGATGTTTATCTGGGTAATCCATGGAACTGTGTGATGCTGGATCTTACTGCGGAGGGTGTGGATGTCAATTAAATCTTTAATTTAAAACAAATAGACCAAAAGAGATTAAAAGGCCCTATAAAATGAGCCTTAGTTTGTTAAGAGGTAAACAAGACTGACTGATTTTTTCCAGTACTGAAACTGGAAATGAGGAGGGCAGAGATAGCAGAGATCAAATGGGTTTTGGTTTGTAAAGCTGCTTTCCTTTTCACTCAATACTGCTGAAGGCAAGTCTGTTCTTTCAGGCTTAATTTCAAACAGAGCTCAGTGGCTCTCAGGACTGCAACAAACTGTGCACAAGGCCCTCTGAGCCCCTTTGAAGCCCATCTGCCTTTCTATGACTGCTGAGGCTGGGCTGTCTCTTCCTTAGACAGGCTGTAACCTTAAACCAGTGATGGGCAATGTGACACTACAACATAAAACACCTGGGTAGTCATGTGGAAAATCAAATCCATACAGTTATGCTGTGGTTGATCTTGGCTGGCTGACAGATGTCCATCCAGCCACTCCCTCACTCCCCCTCAACAGGGCAGGTGGAGAAAATAAGATAGAAAACCTTGTAGAACAAGACAAAGTTAGGGACATAATTTACCAATTACTGTCGTGGACAAAACAGACTCAACTTGAGGAAAACTGATTGAATTAATTTCCAATTAAAAATAGCATATGATGGTGAAAAACAAGCACAAAACTAAAACCCCCTTCCCTCTCCTTCCCAGACTCAACTTCACTCCTTCACTCCAGACTGCTTCCTCCCCATCCCTTAATAGCACAGGCAGATGGGAAATGGGTGTTGCAGTCAGTCCATAACAGCTCCCCTCTGACCCTTCCTCCTCACAATTTTGCCCTGCTTCAGTGCAGACCCCCCACAGGCACCAGATCCTGCCAGCAGCCTTCTTCATAATAATGAAACAAACACTGTCCAAGATGTCAGCAGGATCTTAGGTGAACTTACTGTAAGATAGAGTGGCCTAAGAGCTGAATTCTTAAGGCTTTTAATGACAAGAACAACAACTGAGAACAGAATTGAGGTAAAAAAAATTCAACAACCCTTTGGCCCCAGTAATGATGCTGAGAGAAGAGGAAAAAGACAACACAAGTTGTTGCCTGTTTTTATGCACCAGTGATCTCTCCAATGCAGGATTATCCTGCCAAAGACAGCCAATACTCAGATCTGGAATTCATGAAATTGCATAGAAAGAAGAGCCATATGGCACACTGAGATTTTGCCCTGAAGTTTTCATATTTATATCACAACAGCTTGACATGGGTGAAAACCCTGCTGATTTCTAAAGTGGAGTTCACACACACACACACAAATAACATATGACTCACAATCCTAAATGGAATGATCCGATGATCCAGTATCTCACTACTTGATTTTCTTTACCTGGAGAGGTAGCTGCTAGCATTGCATCTACCTTCCGTGCCCTTCCTTTTCTCTTTACACACAGTCAAGAGTGCCCCATTTATCTGTTGTTCTACCACACTTGCTTGAGTTCCTGCACAGTGAAAAGAACTGTGCTTTGAGGAAACATTCCTTCAAGATAAATCAGTGGGCCCAAGAGAAATGCGCTTTCTCTTCAGTGTAATCTCTAATGGGAGCTTTCTATACAGATCTCTGAGTGAATGAACACCGAAGTCCGGAATCATTATTCTGCTACTTGATTTTCTCATTTCTCTTAAGACTATGAACTCCATGATCTCACTGCCATTATTGCCAAAACTGTTTTTCGCCTTTATATCCCAAACCTCCTCTTGCTTATTCACAAGCATAGAATACAGACAAATATCTTCCTCAGTTATTTCACTCCACAATTGTTTAAAAAAACTTGTCAGCATGGTCAAAAAATCTCCTTAATTCTTTGTGTCTTTCCATGTTGTCTTTCCAGAAAAGTGAGTGTGGT